CGGAGGAGCCAGTGGGTGCCGTACTTGCCTTCATCGCCGTCGCCGTTGCGGCGGCAGGAGAGGTAGCGGAGACATTGGACTGAGCATGTTCCGGTAGAACCCCATCGGCGCCACCAGTGAAGTCGAGCTGCCTCGCCGGCTTCTTCGCCGGGAAATCAGACGTTTCCTGTTGCTCCTTTTTTGGCGGGAATTGGCCTCCATCGCCGCCCTCACCCATCTAAAGATTCGAATTTCCAGTATGCCAAGGTACCCAAAAAATTTCCTTTGTTGTTTCGAAAATTCACTCTTGTTATCACCAGAAAAAACCCCGCCCCCGAAAATATCCAAAGATTCTACGAATCAACTCAAATAATACAAAAAATCCAGATCCGAAACGGAACCGAATCCTGCTCTAATGCCAAAAAAAACTCGAGCGAATCGGCGGCTGCTAAGCTCAAAATAAAATTTGAAAAAAGGAATTATGATCCGCAGATAGAAGGAATAAGACAAGCTTCGAAGGAGAAAACAATCTAGGGTTCTTCTGGGTTTGACGAACAAGAAGAAGAAGAAATATTTGGTGAAACAGCGAAAAAGAAAAGCTGAGGGCTTTCGGTTATGTTCTTCTTCTTCGGAACATCTCTCCTCCCTCTCTCACATGTTTTGAAATTTCAATTTCTGGATTAAATTGGACGGTCAGATTTGCTTAACAAAACGATCGTACGGCTAATATTGAAAACACTTATCCAACGGTGGGAATTCATAGAAGCTTTCAGTCCAGTTGGTCGTGACCGTCCGACCGGATGAATATAATATCTACGAGAAAGCCTTCGAGAAAGGAGCCCTAGAGATTACAACCAACCATATCTAGACACGTGTACATGGCTCTTCGGAGAGATACAAGACAAAGCAACTCGAAGCACAATTACTTTTGTGCGTTAAATTATTGTTTATTCCAAAGATTTACAAAAAATTTCAATAACAGAAGAGAGAATCAACGGTACAAAAAAAATTGATAAAAACGATTATGCAATTATTGAAATTAAGCCATAATACAAGATTATTTGAAGAAAGACAGGATTGCATATACGGAAATATGCATACATAGGTATATTACATAATTTTATTTTTTTTTAAATGTATGCAAGATAGGCTTCCTGGTTCAAATCAAACAAAGCCAAACAGGACGAACTGAAAGTAATGTCGTCTAAGGAGACAACAAGACTTATGGGATATGATATGGGTTTCTGTAAGGGAAAAAAACCAAAACACAACACAGCAGTTCTCTCCGGGAAAAAGAATTTGACGAGAAATCTCTCTCTACGGAAGAAGGGCCACCTGAATATGCGTTTTTTTTTCTTTCTATAGAGATGTCTGATCTTAACCTCCTCTGGAAGAAGATGAGGATCAACTCTTTGTTGATCTGCCAGAGAGAAACAGAAACAAAACATGAGCCACCATGAAAATACATAATCATAAAAACCCGTGATCCCGGGGGAAGATTTAAAGCTAAACCTAAACGGATCAAGAAGATTTCCGAGTGACGGGCTTTCTTGTTACAGAGCAAGGCATGACAACGTGCAATGCAGGGTCGTGATTAACAATCCCGACTTTGGAGATTCACCTAAGGTCTCTCCTTGATTACTAGGGACGATCCGACTAAAACAAAATGAGGGTGATATTCCTAAACCGGAAAAGGTTTCGACTTTAAGGGAAGTGGAAGCAGATCTACAAATACCAAAAGAAAGATCGGTGGCTAGCTAAGATTAGAGACAAACGAATGGTAAGATTAAGGAGGAACAAGCAACAACATATGCATAGATAGAGATATCGTTGTCATTGACTATAGCATAGACTGAAATGATTATCGATAGCAGGAACAAATGTTCAGACCGATTGCATATTTAAAATGAGTGAGAGAGCATTCAGTTGCATACCTTAACGCCATTCAGGGTCAAGGGAATTCTATTGTAAATCCACCGCTCGTCGCCTTGACATTCACAGGTCCAAAGTTGTCAAATTCTGAATCAGAATCCATTTCTCTGTAATCATGCCACTCGCCAGGAGAATCCTCATCTTGCCCACTCCTTGTCGAAGGGACATGGAGCTCTGATACCGGGACAGGAAGAGGCTCCTCAGTGAAATATTTATCATCCAGCAACTCCGAAGCAGTAGATCTTCTTGCCGGGTTGTAACAGATGAGTTTCTTGACCATAGATATCTCATCGGCAGTATGGTTGGGAAGACAACTTTCTACTCCAGCAGGAGCTTCTACCTTAGCGAAAGAGATTGTGTTGTAATCAGGAAGTTCGACACAACCCGGCCACACGTCGTCAGTTAAATTGCCAAGCAAATTGATAATTCTGCTAATCTGATCAATATCTGAAATTCCCGGAAATAAAGGCTCGAGAGATAAGAGCTCTGCAAACACACAACCAAGCGACCACAGATCAACCTCTAGACCGTATTTTGTAGATCCATAGAGCAGTTCAGGTGGCCTAAACCAACGAGTTCCCACACATGATGTCATTAAACCTTGTGTGCCATCATCCCATACTTCGTCGGCGTCATATGAAAAAGAAGTCCTACGGAGATCATCGTCTTCTAAATCACTAACAGTGCAAGTAGCGAGACAAGATGTGTCTCCATCATGCAGGTTTGACTCCTTATCAGTATCGTCTTCTACAACCCGTTTAGCCTTGAGCTCTTCTATCTGTCTGAAATACTCGTCTTTACTCACGGGTTCTTGTTTGTGGCCATCATCACATCCTTTCTGGGATGAAGTCTCGCATTCAGGAATGACTTCTGGTGGTCCAGTGATTGTTCCACCATCTTTGTCTTCCACTTGTTGGTTTTCCTCCGATGGAACAAATCCCGGATCCATGAGTATCCTCGCCTGCAAGAAGCTACCGGCATCTCTCTGTTAAATTAAACAGAAAAAAAAGAGCTCCAAAACTCTAATAATACCACAGCAGGCAACAAAAGCTTAATGACGAAAAATCGAAATCCTGAAACAATCATCAAGTAGCAAGCCACCAAGAACAACAACCACAGAAAATGGAGTACGCAATAGAAATATTCACGAGATGCTTTTGGTTCACCCACTTCATATTATATTATGCTTAGCAACAAATTACTGAAGATAATGTATTACGCAAACCAGAGACATATATCAAAACAAAACAAGCTTATTACAACACATTATAAGAGAATTATGCATGTTCCCATTATCAACATCATGCCTACATGATACTAAATTCTAGATTTTGGTTACATAGTACTAACTTTTCAAGGATCAGAAGAACTAAGCAAAGTTCCAGGAATTCGTCACCAAAATCTAAGAATTAGAGCCACAAGTGTTGCAAGAAGAAGCTTATCATCTACAAGTCCTGCCCATTCGTTCAATAAACAATCAGAATCACAATTACCTGACCAAAATCGGCGAGCTTAAGGATACCATCATCAGAAATCAACATATTCCCAGGCTTCAAATCTCGATGCACGACCATATTCCTGTGGCACGCATCGACGCCGGCGAGAATCTGAATCATCCATCTCTTGATCTCCCCGACCGGGATCCCATCACCTCCGTTCTTCCTCCGCTTCTTGGCCTCGCGGATCACCGCTGCCAGATCGGTCTTGAGAAACTCGAGCACGAGGACGGCGTTCTCGTCCTCGCGCCAGAAGTACTCGTGCATGACGACGACGTTGGGGGAGCCACGGAGGAGGGTGAGGGCGTCGATCTCGCGGAACGCAGACTGGTAGTCGAAGATCTCCTTGAGGGCCACCGTGAGTCCATCGGCGATTCGCCGCGCCCTGTAGACATCGGCGTAAGTTCCGGCGCCGACACGCTCAAAGATCTCGTACTTCGCCACGATCTCCGACCGCGTGTGGATGCTCCAACTGCTCGCCGGCGGTTTCTCCATCGCTCTTTTCTTCTCCTCTACCCGGCGATTACGCCGCCGATTTGGGAATTCTCTCCCTTTCCGGTTTAAAGTGTGATAACAATTCCACTGGTACGTAGACATTTAAATTAGTATGTACCGGTCCAAAGGCTACATTTTAAATGACTAAAATGCCCTCGATTTGAGTCCATCCCACTTTGATACTATTTGTTATAATTTATTTTTCTGTTGGGCCTAACATGAAATTAATGGGCCGAAAATAAATATGAATGTGGTGTCTGTACCTATGAATGATATTTCAAGCATTTGGCACAACTAAATAAATCTTTTTAAAATGTCATTTTTAAAAGAGGTAAAATCCATAAAAAAAATTAATTTATAAATGATAGAAAATAAATTTATAAACTTTTTGTTTAAAAATTTTATTCTAAATTTATAAAAGATATTATTATAATTCTCAAACTTATAAAATATATCATTATAATTACGAAATTGATTTATTCATCAACATCGTTGGGATTTTTTATATTAATTAATAAGTTTAGAAATTATAATGATATATTTTATAAAATTAAAAATAAATTTATTAAACAAAAAATTTAGAAATTTATTTTCTATCGTTTTCTAAGGTTTTATCTTTTAAGAAAGTGAGTATGATTGTATCTGTTTAGATTAATGTTTCCACTTAAATCGAATCTCCGAGATAAACGGGTGTCCGGTCATATGCTTTTGCAAAAATAAAGCAAAAAACTAAACAAATTATTATTAGTTTCCGAAAAAAAAATATTTGGCACCTAAGAGATCATATTTTATTTACCTCTCCGTATCAAGCGGGGAGGAATAAGTAATCGTCCAATCCTACCATAGTTAATTATTCAGATTATTCGAATTAATCCGACAACATGCATGCATGCATCGTACGAGAGCACGTGGACACACTCATCGTCGCTCGGACAACAAGCGGACGAACTCGACAAGGACGTCGACGGAGTTCTGGGAGGCGAGGCCGCCGAACACGTTGGCTCCATTATCGGTGACATCGCCGCCGGCGAGGTCGGAGAGAGCTCTGATGACGATGAAGGGGAGGCGTTGCTGGTGGGAGACCAGTGCCACGGCGGCGCTCTCCATCTCGATGGCCGTGACGTTGAATTTTCCGTTCAGGAAACTCCGGTAAGCTGCGTTGTCCACGAATATGCTCGCGCTCATGCCGTGCCGGACCACCGCCACCCTCGGCTCCCGTGGGAGGCATGTGCCGTTCACGCACCGTCCCAGTCTCATCCCCTGCTCCATGTGTGTGTGTATATATATCAGCCAGGGGATAATTATGGCAAAACGGTTAAGATTCTTGTTTAAATTACAAAAACAGTAAATATTTATGTGAGATAACAAATATATATATTGAGATGCGATTTTAACATGCCTTGAGTTTGTGGGCAACTTCCAGATAAGTCGGATCTACTGGAATCCAGAAGACATGTTCCCGAACTTCGGGAGTTCCGGTTGTCGGAAAAATTTCTTCGGGTTGGTACCAAACTCTATTAAGCAAATTGGCATCCGACAGATTCTTCGTGTTATAATCAGAAAACTGAAGGTAACCTATTTGTCGAGTGTAATCTCCTCCAGCTTCAAGTGACAATTCGTCTTCAGGCCCATCTCCATATCTCTACAACCGAAATTACGCGTTGATTTTATTGCAAAAAAAAATGATTTTCAAAAACACCAAGAATCTTCATGTTTATTTATTATAATATAAATTATTTATCTAAAAAAATATTGTATATTCTATAATATAAGTTATAATATTTTATGTGTATATTTTTTTTATACGCGTGTAACATTATATAGTATTGAATAAAATTGTTTAATATTAGTTGACGCCAAAATATAATTTATATTCTAGTGGATCAAAAAATTAGAGAACAAATAGACGATATATATATATATAGTTGTGAATAAAAAAATATATTTCATTGAAGTTCCAAGCCCGTTCGTGTAAAATATTACTATATGGTATATTGAAAACGCGGTTCACCTCGTTTGAAAACCAGACTTTGTCCCCGCATTTCCACCAATCGTTTTCAAAGGTTTCGTGTTAAACAGGGCTTAATTTATCGAGAATTCAAACGGTTTAAATGAATATTAATCATAATAATAATAATAACCTGCCAGTTCCAAAGGCCGGAGTGAGCCCAATACTGAGGAATTGCAACGTCTCCGATTTCGAGATCAACGTTTGCATTCCCAGCAATTCCGTAATGCAACACTCCTTTTATCCTAAACAGGTTTACTAACAGCTGCGTCCCTACCCCTGCATTTAACTTTTGTTTTCCATCAAATAAAATTAAATTAAAACAACAATTAAATACTAATTATATTTTTTTTAAAAATAATGGATTTTTAATTAGGACGATCATCGAGAGAAACGTACCATCCCTAATCCCACCATCACAATCACCACGCTTTCATTCGATAATTTCCCAATTCGAAATCTTCTACCTATATATAATAGTCGTACGACCAAATTAACACACACAAAAAAAAGAATATGTATGTATGTATGTATGTATGTATGTATGTATGTATGTATGTATGTATGTATGTATGTATGTATGTATGTATGTATGTATGTATGTATGTATGTATGTATGTATGTATGTATGTATGTATGTATGTATGTATGTATGTATGTATGTACCTGCGAAATCGATGTAGGGCAAAGAAGGGTCTGGGACAAAAGCAGGAGAATTGAGAAGAGGGTTGAGCTCGAAGACGTTTGGGGCAACGATCCCTAAACGAGGACCCTTCCGGTTTATTGTTTCGATATTCCTTAATATTGGTTTCGGAATTTCACCATTCGCATTCCCCAAACACATCAAAACCACCACCACCACCGCCACCAAACCCGTACTCCTCATTTCTTCCTTCTCCTTCTTCTCTCTAGGCTACGTGTATATATAGTGGATGTATAATTAATGAGAGGAGGGGAAGCTTTTGTATTGTAAAAATATATTAAAAAACCGGACTGAAGAGCCGGTCAAACCCAATCTTAACCGGACACAATACCAAAGTTAATCCGAATACCCTACATTTGATTTCTGAATACTAGCTTGAATTTATACCGGTTTTATTTCAATTCGATCTTTTTTAAAATTGGAATTGTTTGAACCGAATTAAAACCGGACCGGAGTCTATCAACTGATGTGGACCGTTCAAAAGATGAGGTCGATAAAAAAAATTGATGAAACGGGGGGATAAGATGTGGGTTGATTTTTTTTTTTCCTGGTTTGAAATTGTATGGAAACTTCGCAAGAACAATGTAGAAAATCCCAAAATAATATTCGATTTTTTTTAATTTTTTCAAAAAACAATTTAAACTCTATTTTTTACCAAATAAAACCATAATTTTATAAATATTGCCTTTTTTAAACCTAAACGATCGATGACATAACATCCCGATATCATACGTGTCAATTTGTGATCTGACTGAACCGTACACATCATCATCCGCGTCATCATTTTACCACATCGATCATGAGTTGGATTTAAAAATGAAAAATTTTATAAAGTTCATGTTTTTTTTTTCCAATTCAAAAAATGAGTTCGGATTTTATTCAAAAAACAGTTTTTTTTTTAAATTGAGGTATTTTTTTTAGATTTTTTCAGCAATCTGTGGTGAAATAAACAAAAAAAAAACTGTGGTCCGCCTGTAAGATTCTTTTAAAGGACAATGATATTAGACAATAGATCTGGACCGCTTTTCCGTGGGGCTGATCGAAATTCACCACGTGTTTTTTATGGAGATAAAATGAAGAGCATAATAAATTTCTATTTTTTTTAAATAAATAATTTTCGAAATTTTGATTGGCCACTACATGCGTAAAATCTAAACGAAAGCAAAAAAAAAAAACATACCATTAAAGTTGCATGTAAATAAATTTTGTCTACGTGCCATAGAACGAACCAACCAAATTTTAAAAACCCTAAAGTTGTTATATTATTACAGTCGGACCAGGTGAAACTGTCCTTAATAATGTATCACAAGTTTTGGCGAAATCGATGTAGGGCAAAGAAGGGTCTGGGACAAAAGCAGGAGAATTGAGAAGAGGGTTGAGCTCGAAGACGTTTGGGGCAACGATCCCTAAACGAGGACCCTTCCGGTTTATTGTTTCGATATTCCTTAATATTGGTTTCGGAATTTCACCATTCGCATTCCCCAAACACATCAAAACCACCACCACCACCGCCACCAAACCCGTACTCCTCATTTCTTCCTTCTCCTTCTTCTCTCTAGGCTACGTGTATATATAGTGGATGTATAATTAATGAGAGGAGGGGAAGCTTTTGTATTGTAAAAATATATTAAAAAACCGGACTGAAGAGCCGGTCAAACCCAATCTTAACCGGACACAATACCAAAGTTAATCCGAATACCCTACATTTGATTTCTGAATACTAGCTTGAATTTATACCGGTTTTATTTCAATTCGATCTTTTTTAAAATTGGAATTGTTTGAACCGAATTAAAACCGGACCGGAGTCTATCAACTGATGTGGACCGTTCAAAAGATGAGGTCGATAAAAAAAATTGATGAAACGGGGGGATAAGATGTGGGTTGATTTTTTTTTTTCCTGGTTTGAAATTGTATGGAAACTTCGCAAGAACAATGTAGAAAATCCCAAAATAATATTCGATTTTTTTTAATTTTTTCAAAAAACAATTTAAACTCTATTTTTTACCAAATAAAACCATAATTTTATAAATATTGCCTTTTTTAAACCTAAACGATCGATGACATAACATCCCGATATCATACGTGTCAATTTGTGATCTGACTGAACCGTACACATCATCATCCGCGTCATCATTTTACCACATCGATCATGAGTTGGATTTAAAAATGAAAAATTTTATAAAGTTCATGTTTTTTTTTTCCAATTCAAAAAATGAGTTCGGATTTTATTCAAAAAACAGTTTTTTTTTTAAATTGAGGTATTTTTTTTAGATTTTTTCAGCAATCTGTGGTGAAATAAACAAAAAAAAAACTGTGGTCCGCCTGTAAGATTCTTTTAAAGGACAATGATATTAGACAATAGATCTGGACCGCTTTTCCGTGGGGCTGATCGAAATTCACCACGTGTTTTTTATGGAGATAAAATGAAGAGCATAATAAATTTCTATTTTTTTTAAATAAATAATTTTCGAAATTTTGATTGGCCACTACATGCGTAAAATCTAAACGAAAGCAAAAAAAAAAAACATACCATTAAAGTTGCATGTAAATAAATTTTGTCTACGTGCCATAGAACGAACCAACCAAATTTTAAAAACCCTAAAGTTGTTATATTATTACAGTCGGACCAGGTGAAACTGTCCTTAATAATGTATCACAAGTTTTGTAATCTCGTTTTCATTGTTCCTAAATATTCCCAGTTTTGAGTCATTAAGTAATTAAATCGCTTTGACATGAAAAATTCTCAAAATTCCTAAAGCTAATAAAAATAGCAGCCCAAAATAATGTCATAGTTGACATTATTATATATATATATAATCTCCTATATGTGCACGCAACATGCGTAGACCGTATAATTTACTGCTGCAGAGAATCGGCATCCACACGGAATCTTCTTAAAGGGTTTCCATTACGTTAACATGGTATTTAATATATTTTTTTAATACAGATCAAATTGGACCGTATGATAGGGAGTCTAAAAATGACACCGGATCGAGAAGGACAGTCAAACATAATTTAAAATAAAAATTAAATAATAGTTAATAGGTGGCGGATGTTTATCACAAAGCCATCAAATCGAATCAACACGTAATAGTAAAATAACATATAATTAATTAAAAAAACGTATAATTAATCATGAAATATGATTCCAATTGATCAACGAGGTTTCCATAATGGGTATCAATTCATGGACCTTGAGGTTTTTGGGAAAAGGCCCAATCTCAGCCCAAAATAAACTGTGTTAAAGAACATAAATCATGTCAATGGTATTACAAGCACCAAGATCTCTTATTATCTCTAGTTCCAAGCTAAGTGTATCTATTAATCCCAAATTGAAATCTATTTTTATAAGTTTAATTGCCCTTTATGTTACAAAAAAAAATAAACTGCGGTTATCATCATCATTTGTATAGTTGTGACAATAAAGACAAAAAAAATGTTAGAGAAGAATAAATGCCAAAGCAGAACAAGAAGAGACTTATAAAACCCAAGATTTATTAGTCTTAATCAGATGCTTAATTTTAATTGCATCATAAAGATACAACTTATCAAACATAAAAGAAAACACTTCCATCATTTTTTGTTGCCTTGTCCACTTGATGAACGCAGCCCATCAAAAAAAGCCTTGGGATCCCTCTCAAACGATTCCCTCCAAATGTAGGCCCCACCGCCGGCTCCCGGGGCCTTCATCATCCCTCCGCCGCCGCCGGTATTCCCTCCACCGCCGCCACCGGTCTTCCCCCCTCCACCGCCGCTGCCGCCGCCGCTCCTTCCACCACCACCACCACCTTTGCCGCTCATTTTTTTCCTATCGGAGTGTGACCTTTCTCTCTTTACTAGAAATAGATACTTAGGGTTCGAGTGAGCAGACTAGGGGAAGAGGGTTCGGTATTTATTACGGTCGAGGGAAGTGTTCGGACATTGAATACGGTCAAAGTCAACGCTTTCCAAAGTTATCTCTACGCATTGGTATTGGTATCGTATCAATTCTTCTCGTTAACCTAAATGTTCTACTCGTGAAAGGAAACTGGCTACCCTCGGGAATACGACGTTATGTTTGCATGCATGCCAATACAAATTATTGTTTGCTTTTTATTTTTTTGCGTCATTAAAAATAGTTTAAATTTTAGTGATGATTTGACATTTTTTCACAAGTTGATGGGCTTGACGTCTTAAATGGAAGCCCATGATATGGAATGTAAGTCGGCCATTTAACAAAATTGCATGTAATTAGTACAATTGAAAGATAACACAAAACGTATTGTTCTACTAATGCTATACACCTATGTCTACTTCTAAATATATCATAATAAAACTTCAAATAAAATTAAAACCTACACATTTTAATCTGATGTAAATAATTAAATAATAAAAAAAAACATAGTCAATTTTCCAAGATGTACATTTAATTATGTTTTCCCCCCATTTCATTTTCCATTTGTATTTACTACAACTACGTTTTACGAGAATGATTATATTATTATTATTATTAACACGTAGAGATAATATCGGGAAACAAAGCTTTGACCATTCTAAACACCATTAACCTCTTCCCTCTATATATAAAATCCTCCAATCAATCCCTTTTCTTCCATCACCCAAAACCCATTTTCACATTACTATTATTAAGTTGAGGCATCCGAGAATGGATTCGAAGAAGGCAGGGGACCAGCCAAGTTCTGCCGGAGCAACCAACTCCGGCACTGGAGGCTCAGTCTCCGGCGCCGGAGTCTCCATGGTGGCTCCTGGTTCCGGTGGCAACCATCACATCTCGAGGGCTGCCTTCGAGGGAGAACCTAAGAAGTACTTTGACGAGCTTCATGCCAAGGGGCGAGACAAGAAGTGATTACCCATAAAAATAGCTATTATAAGCACTTTGCTCTCTTATTTCCTCTAATTCCTGTCTTAATGTAGCGAAGTGCGTTGGTTCAATAAATAAATCTCTATCCCATCCCTTATGGTTATCTCTCTTACTTGGTGTTATTGTCTTCATTTAGTTTTAACTTTTGTTTATTCAAATTTTTTATGAAATAACAATATACCCTTGAGACCTAGTTACTGATAACACCATTATTTAATTATAATAATTCGGTTTTAGTAGTTTGGTTGCTGAATTGTCATCGAAGTTAACCTAATCGCCATTTTCTTACGTAAAAGAACAAGGTGATAGTGAGTGAAGATATAATGACAGTACAAACCCCCATGCAGATACAATCAAAATAAACACAGATTACAATTAAGTTTGCCTAAACGAAGAACCATTGATCACACTTTGTTTTTTTTGGTCATTTCATACATCAGACTGAAGAACGCCAAACGCAGAACCTCCAAAACGCTGAACGCAAATTTGTGATATGTAGTTGTTGTATAGCATCATGAGCAATCAGCCTTGGAAACTCACTTTTGATGTTTTCTCTGCAGACTGGCTGCTCGTGATGTTATAACATTTCTCTCCTTTGGGGGTTCCACGCGGTGCGATGTGATTGGTTCACTGGAAACCTGCCCCGAGCGCTGGGGCCCAGTAGTCGGCGCCATTGTCGCTGCCGACTTGCAGAGTGAAAGAGACTGGAACGAGACATAGACCTCTGCTCCTAAGATCCTTCTTCGGTTCTTCGTTACTGTTAGGGTTTTGGTCGTCGGAAGATGACGACGAAGCTCCTCTTCTCTTCATGCAGTGTTCGTTCACAAGCTGTCCGAAATGGGACAAACAAACGCTTAGAAATTTAATTTAATCGCTCAATTTTATATCACATTTTGTCACTGTAATAAAAAAAAGGTTCTCTTGTACGGTTTATTGAAGTACGTAATAGGCCACTGAAAGGGTGAGACTTTGTATTGGAAAATATTATATGTCCGTTCATTATCGGCTTTATTTGAGAAAATATGCAATAAAAACGATGTGGGATATTTAAATAAATCGTTTTAAAATAAGGCATAAAGAAACCAAAAAACGTTAGTTAATTAACTTTGTTGGTTTTAACGAAAGGTAATTAATATATGGAGAAAAGGCTGAGACTTTATCTTTATTTTTTTCTTTTTCTCCACTTTAAAGACAGTAAGGAAAAAAAAAAGGGTAATCTTTTGAAAATTAAAGCTGTTCACATTTTCAGATTTGGGTTCAATTGATCCAATAAAAAGTATGGTGTATAAAACGTAAAAAGAAATAGTAAAGCGTACCTGACCAGGATCCTCGGGAAATATACAATTCCTATCCCCTTGAACCTATAATATATATATATATATAGCGAGAAGATCAGGGTATTAATTAATTAGCAAATGGTCACTAATTAATTAATTAATTAATTAGCAAATGAATGTGTGTGAGTATGTGCATATAGAAATTAAAAATACGTAATGACGAGTATATGATATTATGTGCTTACATGTTGCGGGTGTCTCATATTCCCTGACGCAGTACCAAAGTAAGGAAGACTTAGGGCCTGCAATATTCCAAGAAAGTATAATTAAATAATCACACCATCTTTATATATTGCTTGTTATTATTTTTGTTTTTTTGAAAGAAAAAAATCAAAATATTTAACTAATAAACCGTGAGTGTCGAGAATTTCCAATGATTTTTGGAAGAAGAATATTGGAATACAAATAATAATTTGCTTAGAACAAGTTTTTTTTCGGATTTTCTATTTGGGAATTAAATTTTGGGGTAACATTTTTAAATTGTGAAGAATGTTTCGATAGAATAAAAATAAAAAAGGAATTTTAGAAAATAAAAATGAAAAAGAAAGGAAAAGAAGTGAAGAGAATCATGGTAATTTGGAAGGAAACATCACCTCAATTTGACTCTGAAGGAATCTAATGTATCCAATAGACTCAGACAGGACAGAGGCCGTGTCAGTCTGCCAAAAGAGCTAAAACCATCACTCCACTATCCAACAATTCCATATTCATATACATATATACATATATATATATATACATTTAAAAATTTAACGTGTTAATTTCATCAACCAAATTATCACTATGATCATACCAAATTAATTTACGATTAATGCCACATTTATTCATCGGTCAATTACCTTGCCAAAGGGAGAAACTAGCTGGTGAAGAGCTGCGATTCGTCCGCCTAGTTTCTCCTTCCTCACCTTCATCACCACACAAACACAACATAACGTTAATTACATATATGGAAGTGGGCCTAATTAAGGGAAACATGCAACAAAAATGACCCTTCAATGATTGAGAACGAATACATCAGGAGAGAGACCAAATAGGCTAAAATTATATATCACCAAATGGGCTAATACATATTGTATCTATAGATAGCATAAGGATGACTAGACATAGTGAGAATGAGTTTAATTATGATAAAGATCTAAGAAAGTAAAAAGATGTTTGGATATTTTATTACCATTTTCACTGCTCACAGTTATCATCTTTTTTTTTTCTTCAAGGAAGGATGAAGGAAAGAGAGAGAAGAAGGGAAAAAAGAAAAAAGAATAATGGAGCATGAAGAAAAGGACACGCATCAAAGACAAAACTGTTACCACAGATCATTCTGTGCCATTCTGTTTTGTTTGCATCTTGCTTCTTTGTGTTTGTGCTCTTGTTTTGTTATGCTATATATGTCATATATATATGTATATATATATATATATATATATATGTTTTTGTAAAGATATTTTGTATTAATTTTACCTTGAGGGTTGATTGTGTCGAAGGAGGTGAAGCTTGGAATCTCGGTTTCTTATTGGCTGATCCCCCAGTTTCCGAGCTGTGACACTTGTAGATCACAAGGGCAAATAATTTAATCAGTATTTTCATTTCGCTCTCCATTTTCAACTACCAAAACATGTGTTATATATATATATATATATATATATATATATATATATATATATATCTCACATTACATAGTTTTGTCTTGATGGCGTTGGATTTGATGGTAAAACAAATCGAATCCGATCGTCAAACAGAATAATTAAACAGAGCGAAATTATAATAACAGATCTAAAGGTGAAAACTTTAAAAAGATTATACTTTAAAAAAAAAAACTCACCTCAGAGGATCGATCAGGAGGAAGATGGTGTCTCCCAATATCGGATTTGGTAATACCGTTGTGATGATTACTAGAGAAGTCCAACATGCTGTTGTTGCCACTGCTGGTGAGGCTTGTCGTGGTGTTGGCAGTGACACAAGACTTGGAGTTGGTGTCATTGTTGTTGTTGTTGGGAGGCGATGAGTTCGGTGACATGACATAACCATTGCTGCTGTTGTTGCTGTTGTTCTCTTGCTTCACGTCGGCCGCCATGAAAGCTTGGTGGCTGAGAACTTGCTCTTCCCAATTCTCCAACTTCTTCCCTTGTTGGCTCATTATCATTCTCTCTTCCTCTCCCATCATCAACCCACCCCTTCACGCGCACACACATATATATAAATTCTCATCAGATGATCATTTGTGTATTTGCATGTACAGTTTTTTTTTAAACTTTTGAAAATACTTATAATCAAAACACGATCTCAATCATTCCAGCCAAATTAGAGGAGATTTCGAGAGTAGAAATAGGTAGATACCACAGGAAGTGAAAAATCTTTAACGAGTAATATAGATCTACACGAAACTTAACCAAGATTAGGTTAAAACAAAACATCCACTTTTGGACAAAGCAACGGCAACGCAATTGATAGGGTTCGAGTACTAACCGGCCAAGTTCATTCATTTACTCAAAAGAAACATATCCAGATAGGAACAGAAACATATATATATATATATATATATCATATATATATAGAGAGAGAGAGAGAGAAAGAAGAGAATTACAAAAGTAGTTGGCTGAGGCTCCAAGACTCAGGAGGAAGATCATAATAATCAGGCCAAGAAGAGACGTTAGGGTTATGGCTGGGGAACGAAGGAGAAGAAGAAGACGAAGACGAAGTCGGAGACGGTAGAAACTGCGGCAGGAGACTCGGAAGAGACGGCGGCAGTGTCGGCGGCGGCCGGAGGAAGCTATAAGGGGAAAGCTGCGGCGGCTGATGGCTCATCAACGGTGGCGGAGGCCTCATTCCACCGCTCACGCTCCACCAGTTAGGGTTTCCGGTCGCCGCCAGCTGCTGCACCGGCGAGTTCTCTATCACTCCTGCTCTATTCATGGCACTTCAAGAATCTCCCTCTCTCTCTCTCTCTCTCTCTCTCTCGTGGCCGAACAAGGGCTCTGGAGAAACTTTGAGAGATGTTGCTTCTCTAGCTTAAGTAGTTGTAGTTTTGGAGGATGCAACAAATTTATGAAATCAGATATGTGACAATAATTTTGATGAGGGTATTTGGCAACCCCTTTTGTATTTTTTTTTTCTCCCTTGAATTTTCCCATTAAATTTCTCTCTCTCTCTCTAGATTATATTTATTTAATTTTCTTATTGTTTTCATTTTTTTCTATATGCTTTTTCCATGCTTTTGCTTTATCTCAAAGTGGGACAGAGAAAGGTGGTAGCTACTTTCATTATTTTAATGAAAATATGAGTCGAGGAAAAAGAAAGCGAGGACGGAAAAGGATTATTCGATTTTTTCATATATACGGTGTATAAAATTTTCAAATATATAAAAATGTTTTTGGGCATCACAAGTGTCTCGAATATCCACGCTCCATCTTTTGTTACATCGAATTAATGTTACAGTTAATCCTTATCGTCTACCTCAATATTCCTGCAGGCACGTAATTAGCTGCCAATGCATTTTCCAAGCCATACTTATGTACGTATATAAAATACACTCGCACACGGTCCTTGTACCGTTGTAGTAAAATAACATTATTTTTCAATCATAATCTATAATGAATAATATAGAGGGGCAAAAGGGTCTTTATTTGGTGTTATGTATAAAACGGACTGATAATTTGTTGCGTAGGGCTTTACGTATTCGTGAAAGGATGATAATTACGGGAACCTATATATTTGAAGTATTACGTAAAAACGAGTCACAAAGTTGATATGAGTGTTTATTACATCGGATGATTCTGTCTTTATATCATTTCTTCGTCGGAATTTTCTCGCTCTTTGCCCTGCTTGTTACTTTACTATATATGTACACCATTAGGTATATACACGTATAGGTTATATTGGGAAATATAGAAAGTCTACAAATAGTTGAAATCTTTTGTACATTTCTCTCATAATTATTGTTGGTGATATATTTTCGTATAGTTTTAAAAAATAAATAGATGAAACCGGGTACTATATAATATACATATATATATATATATAGTGTATGAGTAATGATATGTTTGTAATTGAACATGCTCTAGGGTGGGCCAAAAAAAAGGAGCTAGTATTATTCTAATACGAGTTATATATACACCACTCCTTTCAAATATAATTTATGAAATAATCGATTATACAAAACGACACACTATGAAATATGACTAACGCATTCGTCATCATGACGCAAACAATACATATTGCAGATGGAGAGCTATTTTCCTAACACGACCTTAGAGCAATAATTTGTTGTATGTATATCTTAACAATAATTATTTAATAGTTGTATTGATATTGGAAAATGTGATTATTTATACGTATAAATTGGGTATTTATTTTTAGGAGAATTGGCAACGAAATGGAAATTTAATTTGGGTATTTATACGTATAATGTCTGCATCTACCATCTAGACATCTACATCCATATGTAATGAAGTTTTTATTTTTTTTAAATAGAGGATATAATTAAGTAAACAAAGCCGGTGGTGATATACAAAAGACAGCATTTTTCGAAGAAGTCAATGTCTAGGGTTTGGAGATCCCTAATATACTGTCTTCCAGAGAATGATTACAATTTCCAAGAAATTATTTTATCTTACATGAGCACATATAATTTATATACTATATATTATTACATTATAACATGCAAGATGTGTATATAAAAATTATTATCATATCTGTATTCTTTTTCTCAATATTATAGACTACGACTATATAATCTGATTCTTTCTTTTCTTTTCCTTAAAACAGCATTGGAAGATTTTGCATTGAATCATTTTATCTATACACAGAACTTTCTACCGATACAAATATATCTATATAAACAGTGAAATGAAAATTGATATATAGCTTGATATATATATATATATATATATAACCAATACTCCATCTGTTTCTAAATATTGACGTTTTAAATTTTTTGAAATGTAAAAAAAATCATATATACCCTTGTTAAACCACATTTCCAATAACACTCTATGTAAGTTAGATATTTTTAATTAAAGATAAAATTATAAATTTTCTTAAAAAAATAACATAGAAAATGTAAAACAGCATCTATTTAATAACAAAATATATTCTTTAAAACTTCATTTATTTAGAGATGCGTGAAGTAATATGTTGTATACGTTTTACCGTCATTATTTACGAGGATATCTTTAAAAAAACAATCAAGAAATATAATTCAATCTATAGATATGATGATGTAGAAAGTATAATGTCATTGTATAATACTATTAAGATATGGAATCAACTGTAAGTGAAAATAATAATGATTCAGAAAGTGCATAGCCTTGGGCTTTAAACCGAATCTTGATGTCGCAACAAGCAAAAAGAGACAAAGAAACTCCTTAAATCTCGAGCTTAAACTCAGCCCCCGTAGATAGAAAACCATCAGCTAATCCGAACGAAACGTGGTCGTTTCGAGTGTGAAAACTCAAATTAAGGGAATTAATTAATTAGTCTCGTGAAATTAAATGTAAAAATTTAAAAATAAACTAATATATAAATAGCTAGGGCAAAGATGAAGACGACGATGATGATGATGAAGCGTGCCTTTGTCCATGCGGCCAAAATCTTTGTCGGAGACGAAGTGTCGTTTATTCCCATAATTATTATTCCGTTTCTATCCTCTTTCTCCTACCGATGCCTACAAACACCAAGCACCAAATTCCTCTTTCTTGTCTTCCTCCTTTGTTTTAAATTATTTCAATCTTTTTTTTTCTTATTTTTTATTATTTCTTCTACTAGATTGCAAGATTGTTTAATGAAAAATAAAATGCATAAGCAAGATAAGATAAATATAAAAATATACAATTACTTTTATTGTTATCTCTTTTCTTTTTATCGTATTACAATGAAAATAATTTATATTATAGAAAACTTATCAAAATAAAAAAAATATATAAATACAATAAAAACAAGTAAGATGTAAAGTCTATTTAACATTTGATTTTTTAATTAATATTATATTCATATTTACCTTTAATCATATTTATATTTATTTTCTTACTACAACCATAATGAATCACACAATATTGAAATAAGAAAATAAATATAAATATGATTAAAGTTAAATATGAATATAATATTAATTAAAGTCTCATATTGTTTCGATATAATGAATGTAACGATCCACAACCGTTACAAATATCGAAACAATACGAGACTTTAATTATAGCATGTTTTGTCTTCATTCTAATGTACATCGAGATACTTTCCATTAGGTCACCCATTATTAGATTATTCCAGAGGTAATACGCTTAATTTTGGAGTTCTTTCAGTATAGTTAACCGAAAAGGTAAGTGCACCTTGTACAATAACCCAAATAATTCTTTTATATTATTTTAGACCATATAGTCTTATACTTATATAATCATCGGATCTCTCTTATTCCGTTGTATTCGATTCATTTGGTCTTAGTGGTACTCAGGGAGTCACTCCTTGATCGTACTATCTGCACTGACGAATATTTTTAAACCTTATCATAGTTCGGGATATCACAATCAATCAAATCAAGAGATCAAATCAAACTTTGTTATGTATAATCTCATCCAAACCCTAATTTTCACGAGAAATATGACATTTTTTATCGTCTTTTTTTTTATAGAAATAATATTCCAAAAATTAGTTAGGCATCTGCTATATAAAAACCATAGAAGTTTGCTTAAGTGAAGCAAACGACTTTCTCCGGTCACTTCAATTACTAAGGCTTCAAATGCCAACCGACGGTACGGCAGAAACATGCGTTTCATCAATCAATTACGTAGAATAATATAAATGTATTACGGTAACATAATAATGCATTGTTGCTTTCAAGTTTTGTAGGAAAAAAAAACAATGAAATTTCGTACTCTTTTCCACTTTAACGCTAAAACAAAAAAAAAAATCCGTATTCCACTGATTTTGTTTATTTTATTCTACAAATTTAATACACGGTTTTCAACATTTTTCTATTGCCTATATGTTGTACAAATTAGTTTTTTTTTTTAAATATTAACTGGTCATTCAAACCTTACATTGTTGAAATTAAAGTTACATAGTTACAAAAAAAAAGTTACATAGTTACCGAACAAAGATAACCCTATATAAAAAACGTGAATCTGTTTTTAATTTTCACATGTTACACATAATTATAAAATTTCCTTTTGACATATATAATGGAATAATCACAATTACTATTTTTTTTTTAAGAATTAGCTTTTTTCGCGAAAAGTTAGAGTCCACGAGAAACTAAAAATTATTAATGAAAAGAAGGAAAATTTATTTAATGGAAGAAAATAAAAGTAAAATTGTCCTTTTGTATTTTTTTTTTAAAAGAAAAGGCAACCATTTTTAAAAGGAACGAAGCCGACACATTGTCGTATCAGCAATGACTTGTTCAATCGGTTTTTTAAGAGTCCAAATCAACGAGAATGTTAATTTGATTAATTTAATAAAATCGTATTTTTTTTATATTTTAGTAAAATAATCCATGGAAATCGACAGTTTTGAAATTGTCAGATTTCGTTTTTATTTTTCTCTATCTCGAATTTATAACTCTAATTGCGTAGCCCATCAAAGGTTGTGCCCTTTTTGTTTTTTGTTTTTATTCTTCGATCATCGGATTCTTCTATTTATATTATTTCTTAATGAAATCGAATATAACATTAAAAAAATGTCGTCGTGTCATTCTAGTCTTATTTTATATATTCCCCCCATTAATAACAAATTGTATCATTCAGAGAAAAAATGGAAATTAATTAGGCTATATTCAAATGCCTGATACCCATCATAACCCTAACCAATTCCTTTAGAACCGCACTGTATTCCTATTACCTAAATAATACAAAACTCTAAAAATGCGTTAATTTTATATCATATGTATCATTAGTAAAGTTGTAATTAGATTTTTTTTTATTGAACCTAAACTCCAAATTATATTTTTTATTGAACCTAAACCCCAAAACCCTAACCCTAAACCTGAATTTGTTACTTCAAACCTTTCGTTCACACAAATTTAGATATGTAAGTTATGCACAACTTCAATCTAGTATTGCATGGTACATAATCCTCACTCTATGAATGCCACATTCTCCTAAATATAATTTCGAACTAACAGTAAAA